TTACTCACTGTAACATGTAAAACTATAAAACAAATGAAACTATAAAACATGTAAAAAATATAAAACATATAAAAATATAAAACTATAAAACATATAAAGATATACAACTATAAAACATGAAACATATGGATTCAGTCCAAGTACATTCCGTCCTAAAAACAGTTCAACTGGATTCACACAAAAACACATCGACAGGAGCTCGGGAAGTCGTTTTTGAAGTGTTTCCACTGGAGCCAGAGGAGACAGGAGGCCCCAGAACACCCCAGGTCCAGGAGCCAGAAGAGAGAGGAGGCCCCAGAACCCCCCAGGTCCAAAGGAGGCCCCAGACCCCCACCAGGTCCAGGAGCCAAAGGAGAGAGGAGGCCCCAGACTCCCCAGGTCCAGAGGAGGCCCCAGACCCCCACCAGGTCCAGGAGCCAGAGGAGAGAGGAGGCCCCAGACCCCCCCAGGTCCATAGGAGGCCCCAGACCCCCACCAGGTCCAGGAGCCAAAAGAGAGAGGAGGCCCCAGACTCCCCAGGCCCAGAGGAGGCCCCAGACCCCCACCAGGTCCAGGAGCCAGAGGAGAGAGGAGGCCCCAGACCCGCTCAGGTCCAGAGGAGGCCCCAGACCCCCACCAGGTCCAGGAGCCAGAGGAGAGAGGAGGCCCCAGACCTGCCCAGGTCCATAGGAGGCCCCAGACCCCCACTGGACCCTGCTGTAATAATAAAATGTAATGAAGTCTATGTAAGTCCTGCAAATGTGTTTTTTTCTTTCAGTTTTTAATTGTCCTAAAACTGACTCAAACTGAGAAATATTTTCAAACATGGCCCATTCCGCTCAGAATCTGTTAACACATTTAAATATTTATAAAGACCTCAAAAAGTAAACTCTGCGTCTCTATGTTTGAGATCAATGGGTCATTTCAATGTATGATCACTTTACACTACACAACACAACAGTTTATTTTCAACTCAAACAGCGAGAAAATATCTGTAATTACTATTTATGCTTCATTATATTTAATCGAGTCATAAACTCCCCCATCACAGCATTCAACTCCTCCTCCTCCTCTGGACAGGTCGTGATGAATGTACAGAAATCTTACATCATTATCTCTGTGCAGTTCATCAGGAGGTCCTGTGGGGGGGCCTGTGGGTCGATGGTCTGTGGGTCTGAGAGTCGATCTGTGGGTCTGAGAGTCTGAGGTCTGTGGGTCTGAGAGTCTGAGGTCTGTGGGTCTGAGAGTCTGAGGTCTGTGGGTCTGAGAGTCTGAGGTCTGTGGGTCTGAGAGTCTGAGGTCTGTGGGTCTGAGAGTCTGAGGTCTGTGGGTCTGAGAGTCTGAGGTCTGTGGGTCTGAGAGTCTGAGGTCTGTGGGTCTGAGAGTCTGAGGTCTGTGGGTCTGAGAGTCTGAGGTCTGTGGGTCTGAGAGTCTGAGGTCTGTGGGTCTGAGAGTCGATCTGTGGGTCTGAGAGTCTGAGGTCTGTGGGTCTGAGAGTCTGAGGTCTGTGGGTCTGAGAGTCTGAGGTCTGTGGGTCTGAGAGTCTGAGGTCTGTGGGTCTGAGAGTCTGAGGTCTGTGGGTCTGAGAGTCGATCTGTGGGTCTGAGAGTCTGAGGTCTGTGGGTCTGAGAGTCGATCTGTGGGTCTGAGAGTCTGAGGTCTGTGGGTCTGAGAGCCTAGGTCTGTGGGTTTGATTGTCGGTTACAGTCTTCCCAGCCTGGTGCAGGTCTACAATGAGTGGAGGACAGGAGTTTAAAGAAGTTAAAGGTCTGTGAGAGCCACAACACTTGCTTGTTTTGTAGTTTCTGATATTTAAAAAGTTATAATGCCAGATGAGTGTACTTTATTTGAACAGTGTATAATTAAGCATTAACACAAAGGAGAGATGTAGCAGGTCATAGCAAAGATGCTACTGTCCAGCTGTGGTCCTTGAGCTGATGCTACAGATGAATCTTACTCTAATGTGGACAGATACATGACCGTGTCTTGCATTTACAGACTTTTCAACAAGAAAATCTCAAAACAATTCACCCAATCTTCAAACGGTGGCTGAGTGGATAGCACTCTCGCTTCTCAGCAAGAAGGTCCTGGGGTTCCAATCCCGGTTGGAACAGGGTCTTTCTGAGTGGAGTTTGCATGTTCTCCCCGTGTCTGCGTAGGTTTCCTCCGGGTGCTCCGATTTCCCCTACCACTAAAAACATGTACAATAGGTCTGTGCCTCCTGTACTGGCCCCTCCCATCTCCGCACGGCGCGACAGACTAATGCCCACAATTGTAAACCGCTTTGACTCTTGTCTGTGAAAGGAGCTATATAAAAAACATTTCTACTACTTACTACAAGCCAATAAATACTACTTCTGTATTTCTCTTGGACATTAAACAGATAATTACTTTTTATCTCACCACAACCATGAAGCTGATTTCCCGTCGCTCCTGTGCTGTGGTCGTGGATAAACGTGTATAATGGATAAAGATATCAAACAATCGCCATGGTAACATCTAACATGTTAATTGCCTGATTGAGCAGATGCTTTGTAAAGAGCACTTTTGGGCCTCACAATTTCCAGCCGTTATGACAACTTTGATTTCATGGTATTTATTCAGTTCTCAGGCTCCATATTACTGCTGTCGTAATGAACACTGACATGCACATATTTTAGCCAAATTAAGGATGTTTAAAGCGCTAATGCACACCAGCTGCTGTCCCATGCAAATGCACGTTAGCCGCATGCTAATAGCCCACTTTGTAACCAGGACCTGGGCACACACATCTGCTACTGACGCTGCAGAGATGGAAACGCCTTTCTGCACTTTTATTTATCCCATTTAGAAGAAAAGATTACAGTTATTTCACACCGGTAAGAAGCTACGGCTGTTTTCCCTCATTTATTCCAAAAAAAGAAAAGAATGGATAATCCTCCTAGCTCCATCTCGCACTTGAATCTCACAACTACTTTGGAGCCGTCTCTGTTCTATTGACTTTGAAATATTACCATTTTGCACAGCGTCTTTTGTTAAATTCATGCCCAGTGCGTCCCCAAAGTCTACAGTCCTTGTGCTTCAGAAATATTCGTATCTTTTGGCTTTCATAACCTTGGTATGTGCTCGGCGCCTCACCACACTGTCATTGTTTGAAATACAGAGATTAAAAGCACGGGTGGATCCTGAGGGGCTGAGCTCAGAAGCAAGAGAAGATCACAGTTCAGCAGCGTATGCAAAACCAGAGAGGAAGTGTTAAAGCTGGGGACTGTTGGTGTCAGACATCACCTGCTCTTACTCCTGGCTGTCGCTGATTGAACTTTAGTTTGCATAAATAGGTCAGATAGGTACGGAAGAGCATTGTTGTCACTTAAAAAAAAAAAAAAGATCTCATAATTATGAGATAGTATCTCATAATTATGAGATAATATCTCATAATTATGAGATAGAATTTTTTTTTTTTCATTTTTTATCTCATAATTATGAGATAACTATCTCATAATTATGAGATTTAAAAAAATAACAAACAACAGAGACACTGACTCAGTGGTGATGATGGGGCTTTTTGATTTACTGCACTTTTATCATCTAATTGGATTAAAACATAAGGAAATACAGGTTGTTCTTCAAGTAGATGGCTATGACATGAGCTTGTCCACTCTGAGAAGGCGTCTAAGACACTATGGATTGTTTAGGCGCACCGCATGCACGGACCTCCTTGATGTCGCATTGTTTATACAAGGACAACTGGAACATTACGGCAGGCTTCATGGATACAGGTTAATGCACTTGAAATGTATTCAAGCTGGATTGGTGGTGTCTCAAAGAACAGTGCGCCACCTTATCGGCATTCTTGATCCAGAGGGTGTCGCGCTCAGATCAAGCCGACGTCTCATCAGACGTGTTTATAACAATCCAGGGCCAAATTTCCTATGGCACGTTGACGGCTATGACAAATTGAAACCATACGGGATATGCATCAACGGGGCAGTGGACGGTTTCTCTCGAATGGTAATCTGGTTGCATGCCTTCTCAACCAACAGCGACCCCAAAGTTGTGGCTGGATACTTCATGAATGAAGTGAATCAGATGCAAGGGACCCCTGCGAGAATTAGGACAGACTTGGGTACAGAGAACGGTGTCATGGGCGAGCTGCAGAGATTTTTGCGGAGTAACCATGATGACAATTATTCTGAAAACTGCTACATTACTGGGTCTAGTAACCACAACCAAAGGATCGAGCAGTGGTGGGGCTTCTTACGAAAGCAGCATGCCCAATATTGGATGGATGCTTTTCATCTTTTGAAAACCGTGATCAGTACTCTGGGGACTTCCTTGACAAGAATCTAATTCAGTTCACATGCCTGGAAATCATAGAGGTAGATCAAATGCACACACGCACGCGCATATATAGGACACACACCACAAAGGTCAACAAAAACAGTTATTCATATCTATCCACTTCAACAGTCAAAGTACACCATCTAGTGGCCACTCCCCTACACATGTTTATGTACACATGTGGATGTATAAAAGTGTATACATACATATATGTATATTTATATTAACATACATTGTAGTACATATACGTATATTTGATCAGTATTGCTTCTGTAGTGCTTTATTTCATTTAATTCATTGATTTGCTTTTCCAGAGAGAACTTCAGGAAGTTTCTCGTCTCTGGAACACTCACACTATCCGGCGCTCTCGAAATGCTGTCAGTCCACCTGGAAAGCCTATCGTTATGTATAGACTGCCCCAACTTTTTGGATGCACAGACCACCTAAAACAAGTAGGCAATGAACAAATTGAACTCTGCAGAGAAGAGTGTCTCCCTAGAGGCCCCCACCCTTGTGATGAGACAGTATTCGAAATTAGCTGTTTAGCAATGGCCGAGAACAATCTTCACCCTCCTACTTCTTCAGAAGAGGCTATTGAACTGTATCTTTTTCTAAGAGATTGTATTCATATGTACATGGAGTGAATGCAAACATGGCATCTGAAGCTAGCTTTTGAAAGTAACCATCATCTACTCTGTGTAGTGAAATTACTGTTGTACACAATAAATGTTTTTGCACACTTCATTTTTTATGTATTATCTTGTACTAGGCCTGTACAGTAGCTTGGCTACTTACATTAATGAAACCATAAACCAAACATCTGGGAACAACGACTCGATTTTTATCCAGTAAGAGTCCATATAACATTAAACCCCTGTAGAAATAATAATAATAATGGACACAAAACAAATTAAGATATGATAATTCTGCAACAGGACCAATTTAATAAAAATGGTGAATATAAACATGCCTTTCAAATGGTAACATCGTTGAAGAATGGTATTTGAAAAATATTATTTTTTAGCATATTGAATTATGTAACTACTGGAAAGGCTAAAACCATTTAACACTTTTAACCATGTTAACAGAATGTAACAATGAATTTTATAAGAACAAACCACTTGATACAGTTAATCTTTTTACCAGTATGGGGATACTTCTGCCTGCATTTTAATACAGTTCATATCAGATCCATGGTAAAGTAGTTACTGCTCAGTACACTATCCATCTCCACACGTACTTCTGGGAAGGAGGTGTATGTAGAGGGCAACTCCAAAACTGCTCCACATGTGTGCGCAACAGGTCTACGTGCCAGGCCATCTAAAAGTGTAAACATCACTTTAATCTTAGCCACATTGATGATATCTGAGCCAGTAACAAACCTCAGAAAATTTCTGAGACCTACTTTGTCGAGTTCACGGACATACTGCATTAAGTACTTCAGACATTGCTGCTCGGATGGATTTGCCGGTGTGGCTTGTATGAGTCTCAAAACTTTTTTGCATGAAGGCTTCTTCTCTTCATACATTACTTGGACCTCTTCTACAGTAGCCATTCTGGTTCTCAGCCACGGCCGCGAGGCAATCGACATGTTGTCTAGTGCGTACTTTGGAGTCTGGATGAACATTTTGTGGGCTGCTTGAAGAAGAAGTGCTTTAAGGTTATCCTGAGAAGGAACTGCTGTCACTCCAAGCCGATCAAGTAAATCTAGCAACTCCTCCTCGACACTACTATCAATTTGTTCCTTTAAAGCGGTTGCAACAAGATCTCTGTCACAGCGGCTCAAATATAACAGAAATGAGTCAAAGAGCAAATCTGTAGAAACGGCATGTTCTCCATGAATTAGTGCTATTGTAAATGCTGGGGCCAGGCGCAGTGGAAAGTACCCATGATCGATATATCCTTTTGCCAAGATTTTCCCAATGGCTTTCCATTCCTCCTCTTGCCATTTAGGAGTTAAGACTGGAACTCTCAGCTCCGCACCTTCAGCTGCACGCTCCACAAACTCACTCCAAAATGCAGAATATACATCTCTTGCCAAGCCATCTGCATCTGCACCCTTTTCATGTACAAATTTGAATTTGAGTCTGAACGTCATAATTTCCTCATTTTTTAAATGACTGCAGCACATTTACCCGATGAATTTCCACTGTGACCTTATGCTCCAGCTCGCTGTTTAAGACAGAAGGAAGTTCCACAGGGAATACAGGATCCCTTTCTTCAGCCTGAGCTGTGATTGCTTGAAATTGTTCAGCTTCTCTATTGATGGGTGAGGATTCTGAAGATCGATTTCTGTTCTGAGGGACCAAAACTGGCAATGTGTCATCCAGATCAAATATTTGGGGCTCAGGGATGCCTTGGCCAATCACAAAGACCTCTGCTTCCTCATCATCGTCAAAGATGACGCTTATTGATTCATTATCATTCAGTCCATTGAAGACTTCTAGATCCACAGTTTCACATGGAACATTATACGGATCTTCATTGTCCGTGGCTATGGTTTCCAAATCTGTGTCAGTGGGAGTTGCATTCTCTGTCACAAATCGTGTGCTAAGATAGAACCTTAATATGCCAAATTTATGCATATTGTATAGTTCCCCAACAGTAACATGATCATTAATCGGTGACTCCTTGAAATCCTCTATGCTTGCATAAAACTCCTCCCATTTCCCCATTTGCGATTCTCCATTTTGAAAAAATAAATCTTTACCAGTTTTAAGAAGATCTTCTTTTGTTGAGTCCTTTGACACAGACAGAAGTCTTGTGCCCCCACCTGAACGCTTTCTAATTTGTTTTCCTTCATGGAGCCATCCAAATTCAATTTTGCGTGTTGTCTTTACAGCATTCTTTCTTGTATTTGGATTTGTTGTTGATGGTTCCCCACAGCTGCCAGAAGCTGTCTTCATTTTTTTTTGCAACCTATGAAGTATGGACATTTTTTTCGCATCCTTTATTTTGGGACTTTTCTTTTCCATACAAAAGCGCCTTGTAGCAATCCTGTCCCCATAGGCTGGTATGTATCGGGCCAGGTATGAATCCTCCACTTCACTAATGATTTCAATGTGGAGCTGTGAAAACATGAACAAAACAAATTAGAATTGGAAATGCTGGGGACACTTAAAACCATACAAAAACAGCCTAATAAATTCTGAGGCTAAATATGCACAAATAGGATGTTAATGCACATGTTGTTCGCTGATATTTTATTTCTTTATGTTATTATTCTTATAGCACGTAATCAGCCTTTATAGGTCCTCAAAGCTCACCGTCATTGAGCACGGGGTCACCACAGTGTTCTATGATGTTCTGAGTCTCCACACAACCTCCCTATTTTAACTCTTCATCTTTTGTTTATATCCGCGGACTCAATGTCCGCATCAGAATACATCACCTTTTGCAAGCATTGCTCGAGTTTTACAATTAAAATGAATAAAAAGGAAAAAATATGATATGTACAGTTACCATGAAACTAGTGGAAGTGGAACTCAGTACATTCAAATGTCTTTTGATGAGCTAATATGATGCGCTGTTTGTAAGGTGAGCCTAAGGCGTTACTAGGGCACGAACAGTGGCATCATAGGCTGATCTTTTATTTTTTATGTCCAAAAACTTACAACGGTGTCACAGCGGGTTTACTATAATCCTAACCCCCAATCCGGTCCACATTTGCTAGCAGTCTATAGTTGCTAGCGGATTTGGAACGGGGCTCCAAGTTCTGGGGGCAATCCACAAGGATACCGGCTCCACGAGCACTGAGCTATCTTACGACCACGGCAACTGTGAGAAATAAGCTAAAAATAGATCGTGGACTGATCGTAGCTGTCGGTTACGCGTGACACTGGGAAAGTGTTGTGTTGTGTGAAACTAACAAATGGCTAGCTTAACGCATTAGCGGTTAGTCAGACAGAATGCTATTCAAATGCAGAAAAGAATCATAACGTCAAACTTTAAACGTTGGAAGTACCTTATCTTGTTGCATTTCCCTAATGCCACTTTCAGAGACACCTCGACCTCTCAAGAAATCCCATAGAGTGGTGTCCGTGGTGTCTGGTCCACCCGGTCCTGCTGAAGCCATCGTGTGGATAATGAAGCTAGCAATGACAGCAACTTTGTGACTATGACAATTTTTTGACTAATAAGGAAGAATTTCATAATAGATGGTTAAAATATTTCTTAATATAATCAAATATTTACCTGTACTGTTGGTGAAAGTTGTAGATGAAACAATGAACTGCATGCAGCCTGCCTCATGAGATTTTTTTTTTATTTCATTTTTTATCTCATAATTATGAGATAGTATCTCATAATGAGATACTATCTCATAATTATGAGATCTTTATTTTTTTTTATTTTTTTTAACAATCTTTTTTTTTTTTTTTAAGTGACAACAATGCTCTTCCGTAACATTGCACTTGCGATCACCAGCAAAATCAGTATAAACAAACATTCCTGTGGACACAAGATAAAGTTCATATTCTTTATAAAAAATACTGCTCGTCATGTAAAATTAAAGAAAAGTTAATGCAACCTACTTTTTTCCGCCGCTTCTTTATTATCTTAGACCAGGGGTCGGCAACCTAGGGCACGCGTGCCACATGTGGCACGCAGCGGGATAAACACTGGCACGCCGGCACCTCCGCATTATTCTCACTGTATCTGTCTAAGGCTATATCCACACGAAGACAAAACGCTTATAATTTCAGAAACTTTTTCTGTAAACACGGAGTTAGCTCAGTAAATGTGTGCGTCCATATGAATGTAGTCAATACGCCTGAAAACGCTGTGAAACTATGCCAGACCTGTTGGTGGCGCTGTGACGCAATGACGGGATCAAGCCCAAACTTCCGTGGGCATGCGCGGAATTTTGTAAACAGACAACATGGCGAGTGGGCGAGCTGGTACTACATTAGTATGGACGGACGATGAGGTTGAACTGTTGCTTCGGGTCGCACTGGATTACAAAACCAACAAGCTACATTGTTGTTGTCATTATTTTCTGAGTGCGGCGCATGCTGCTTTAACAAGAGGCGGGGCGATGACGCAAGCGTCTCAGATACATTGCGGAGAGGCAGTAACCACGGAGCGGCATATACGGAGTTTTGAAATCTTTCCACTCTGGGACCTAGTTTCAAAAATGTTCGTTTACACCCCCCCAAAACGCCGGCCTCGTATGGACGATACACTGGATTGACAAAGTATTTTTGCGTTTAGGCCTGAGCTTGACTTCGTGTGGACAGGGCCTTATGGCGCGTTCACACCGGACTTAACTTCGGCGTCAAAAGCGTCAGGTTTGCATTGAAAGTGAATGGTGAAGCGCGTCAGGTGAAGCCGTAAG